CAGACTCTCGAGGACATGCTAAGGGCCTGCATGTTAGATTTCCAAGGGACATGGGAAGAACATCTAGACCTCATCGAGTTCTCCTACAACAACAGCTACCACGCGAGTATCCGCATGGCTCCCTAGGAAGCTCTGTACGGTAAAAAATGCAGAACCCCCCTATGTTGGAAAGACATGGTCAGCCCAGTGACACTAGGACCCCAATACTTACAAGACACAATAGCTAAAGTCAAGCACATCCAAGAAAGAATGAAGGCCGCCCAAGACCGCCAAAAATCCTACGCCGACCTAGGGAGAAAACAAGCCGAGTTCACCACCGGAGACAAGGTCTGGTTGAGAATCTCACCCACACGAGGGGTAATGAGGTTCGGAAGGAAAGGGAAACTCATCCCCCGGTTTATCGGCCCCTATGAAATCATAGAAAGAGTCGGGAACTTGGCCTACCGCCTCGCCCTACCTATCGAACTGGAACGGGTACACAACGTATTCCACATATCCCACTAAAGAAATATGTACACGATCCAAGCCACGTGCTACAACCCGAGGCTGTGGGCCTCGACAACACACTAACTTACGAAGAAAAACCCGTAAGAATCCTGGACACCAAGACAAGAACCACCCGCCGGCGAGCCATAGAAATGGTAAAAGTCCTCTGGACCAACCATGGGACCGAAGAAGCAACATGGGAACTCAAAGACACAATGAAAGAACGCTATCCCGAACTCTTCACACAAGGTAACCAGGGCGAAAACATAGGATAAGAGACGAGGGCACTTCACGAGGACCAAAGCTTCGGGGACAAAGCTTCCCATTAAGGGGGGGGGGGGGGAGAGTGTAACACCCCGTGTAACGGCCCCTAAAACCAATTAATCATTTAATCAATTACCCAAAAGAAAGGACTAAATTCCAATAATTAATTAAGAAAAGGCCCACCATAGTCCATGGGCCCTTATCCCTAAACCCAATCCCCTAGTTCTAGAAAGAATAGAACTAACCCTAATTAGGGACTCTTAGGTATATAAATAGGGGGCAAAGGAGGCAACTAGAACCCACACCACAATAATCCCTCACCACACAAGAAGTTCCAAGAATTCCCCTAGGAGAAATCAAGAAAGAAGGAATCTTAAAGAAAGACCCTTCATAGCCAAGGAAATTAATTAAGGCTAAGAGGTAACCCATGTCTCAACAAAACCTATTTTCCTTGCTATAATTATCTTCTTTGGCCTCCTCTCTATACTTGTGTCTTGATGAATCGTTTATGATATTGATGATACGTTCTTGATGATTGTGAGATGATTTTATGTGTGATCTTGATGATCTTGATGATGATAAGAGGTTCTTGGTGAATATGTGATGTTCTTGATGAATCTTGATGTTTTGGCAATTAAAAGATGAACTATGATTTTATTGATTTGAATATGATTAGAGCCCTAGGTTAAAATTGGGAATTTCGTATTGTGTTATTCTTGATATAATTGGGTGGGATTTCGCATGTTCGGGTGTTGATTATGTTTAGAAGTCATGATAGGATATGTGCTATATGATTCTTGCTTTTGATCCGTTAATTGTATACGTGGTGTCATCAATTGCGTTTAAAAGTGTCTAAGCATGGTTTCGGGTTCCACAACTGATCCCGGGACATTTATTTTGGTAAAAAGTCAGTGGGGGGTAGGGGGACCCGCCACCTACCCGCTGCCCGAGAAAGACGTCGCCGGCAGCGGGCAGCCGGCGGGCACCCGCTGCCCGGAGACCTGACGCCGGCGGGTGGTCCACCACCCACCGGCTACCCGCTGGAAATTGTCCCGACTCGGGACTCCGGCTTCCCCGTTTGATGTTTCCCCGACCCTCGTGGTGTCCCAACGGACCCCGTTTATCGTGCCTAAGTCTAGTTTGATGTTTCGGGTACCGTTCGTTGGATAAATGAGTCTTATATATCGCATGCTAGTGAATTGGTATCCCGTTGGCCTAGGTAAAGGAAGTATGAACCCCTTAGGATTATTCCTAGTATGTGGATAACCACGCATAGGTTTCGTTATACGTTTTCTCCCCTTTCCCAATGTGTTAATATGGTTGCATGTGCTTGTTATGTGTTATGTGTGCATGATACCCCAATTTGGTTGCGATCAAATTGGTTATGCCTGAGCTACGGTTCAGAAGCTGGCTGCGGTCAAAATTACACTCTCGGGCTGCGGTCCACCGTTTGGTTGCGATCAAACGTTTTACATGAGCTGCGGTTCATATTCCTGGCTGCGGTCAAATGATCACTCTTGGGCTGCGGTCCACTGTTTGGTTGCGATCAAACATTATGATGAGCTGCGGTTCATCGGTCGGTTGCGATCGACCCCTTCGTGTTGCGATACGAGGAAGGGTGCTGCGGGGCCGTGTCAGAGCTATATGCGCTGACCCTCATGTATGGGCATGCGATTGGTCCTGTGGCGCCACCAAAGTGTGCTTGTGTGTGATGAGATACGAATTGGGATGATGATATGAATGAGATGAAGTGAATCTGTGACCATAGGATATATGCTAGTAACTCTATATGCTTGATTATAACTGTTGAATGTGCTTATCCCTATCTGTCGAGTCTATTCTTGGTTTTAAAAGTTAGCGTCTCTTAAGTATATATCTTCCTGCTTCAAAATGGTTTTCATATATCTATATATATATATATATATATATATATATATATATATATATATATATATATATATATATATATATATATATATATATATATATATATATATATATATATCTATAATGTATTTCAACGCGTTGGAGTGGGTTACCAGCATCTCTCGCTGAACAGATATATTTGGCTTTCAGGCACAGAGGAGTAGACACTGGAGCGCGCTAGAGATTTGGAGCGTAGAGTAGATAGTTTCCCTTTCGGCCTGCGTGCCATGCTTATGTATTCACATCATTGAGGATATTAGTTAGTTAGCCTGTGCGCCTGAGTTCTCTAGCTCAGGTGTGGCATAGCACCCCGTACTCTACTACATTATGTTTTGGGATTTAATGAGAATTTACCTTTATTATATAAGTTTCAAAAGTTTTAAAATTTCGAGGTGTTACATCGGCGCCTCGGAGGGCTCTGCTCACGTAGTACACCGGGCGTTGGGTCACCGCGTCATCCTGGACCAGTACAGAGCTGATCACGGCTTGCGAGATGCCCAAGTACAGATACAAAACCTCCCCTTTCTCCGGTTTGGTCAGGGGGGGTAGCGTCATGAAGTACGTCTTGAGGTCCTCGAAGGCTCTCTGGCATTCGTCTGACAACTTGAACCCCTGGTTCTTCTTGAGGACCCCGAAAAATGGCAAGGACCTCTCGGCCGACCTTGAGAGGAATCGGCCGAGGGCCGCCAGCCGACCATTGAGGCGCTGGACCTCGCGGAGGGACCTCGGGGGTTCCATCTCCAGGATGGCCTTGACTTTCTCGGGGTTGGGTTCAATACCCCTCTTTGAGACCATGTACCCCAAGAACTTCCCTCCGTGTACCCCGAAAGTGCATTTCTTGGGGTTCAAACGTAAACCAAAATGCCTCATAATGGAAAATACCTCGGTTAAGTCGGCTATGTGGAGGTCGGCCTCCGTGCTTTTCACAATCATGTCGTCCACGTAGGCTTGCAAGTTCCGGCCGAGGACCTTCTTGAACACCTTGGCCACCATTCTTGTATACGTGGCTCCCGAGTTCTTGAGCCCAAACTCCATGACTAGATAGCAAAAGACCCCTTCGGGGGTGGTGAACGCCGTCTTTTCTTCGTCATCCTCGTGCATGAAAATTTGGTGGTACCCCGGGAGGGCGTCTAGGAAGCTCATGAGTGCGCACCCTACCGTTTCGTCCACCAGCTGGTCTATGTTGGGTAGTGGAAATAGGTCCATGGGGCATGCCTTGTTGAGGTCCATGTAGTCCACACACATCCTCCAGGTGGGTGGTTTGGGTGCGAGGACTATGTTCGCAAGCCATGCTGGGTATGTGACCTCCCTGATGTGCCCGATTTCGAGGAGGGTGTCGACCTCCTTCTTCACAAACTCTCGTCTATCTGCGGCGAGGTAGCGCTTCCTCTGTTGGACAGGCTTGGCTTTGGGGTCCACCTACAGTTTGTGCGTGATGACCTCCCGGCTGAGGCCCGACATGTCTTCGGGACCCCAGGCGAACACGTCTTTGTAACTGCGGATAACCTCGACAATCCGACCTCGGAGATCGGCTGGGAGGCCTGTGCCTAACTTCACCATTCTATCAGGTCAGCTGAGGTCCAGGATGACCTCTTCCGTCTCCACCACGGGTTCGGCGCGGGGTTGCTTCTCCTCCTCTCGAAGTGCCCTCTCGGTTACTGTGTGCACCTGGAGGTCCTTCTTCGTTATTTGGTGGCAGGCCTTCAAATAGCAGCTCCGACAAATCTTCTGGTCTCCTCGTGCGACGCCTACTCCCGTGGGGGTAGGGAACTTGAGGCAAAGGTGCTCCATGGAGATGACGCACCTGAGGTCCTCCAAGGCAGGTCTTCCGAGGATGATGTTGTGGGCGCAGCTGATCTTTACCACCACGAACTCTACCTCCCACGTCTTGACGTGTGGTGGGTGTCGATCTGCACCTCAAGGGTGACGGAGCCCTCTGTCTCAATGGATTCTCCGGTGAAACCGGATAGCGGAGTCCGTACCTGGGAGAGCTGCTTCCTGGATAATCCGAGTTGCGTGAAGGTGTCATAATACATGACGTTCATGGAGCTCCCCGTATCTACCAGTACCCGGTGGACAATGATGTCTTTGAGTTCCAACCTGATTACCAATGCATCCCGGTGGGGTAGGGGACCATTCGGGAGGTCGTCGTCGGTGAACGTTATGGGCTCCCTGCGCGTCCTCTTCTCATGGGGTGCTCGGACGACCTCCCCTACGTACAGGCTCCGCGCCCAGTTCTTCCTCTCGGCGGGTGTGTCTCCTCCTTCCGGGCCGCCAAAGATGACGTGGATGACTTTCTTCTTTGGCGGGCTGTCTGGCTCGGTCTACTCGTCCTCCGTGAGTTGGCCGAGCTCCCTCTTGCGCTGGGCAGAAGTGGATGGCCCGGTGCCATCCCTCTTCTTTTGGGCATTGTCGGGGCCTTTAGCATGGTCCTGCCCAGATCTCTTCACGTACTGGCCAAGGTACTCCCGTTGGATGAGCTCTTCGATCTGTCTCTTGAGGACCATACACTCGTCTGTGTCATGCCCACGCTGCTGATGGAAACGGCAGTACTTCTTCGGGTCGGCCTTGGGGGAGATCTTCAAGCACTCCTCGGGGAACGACACGATGCCCATGTCCTCTGCATGGTCCAGAATGACACTCATGGGTTGTGTCAACGGGATCAGGTGTCGTAGTAGGGCTAGCCGGGGACCCCAATCTCGGCGCGACCGCGGTGGGCGGCGGTCCTCTTGAGGTTGAGGTGCCCTGTCGCCCCGGCTTTGGCCTTCCTCCTCCTCCTTCTTCCTCTTCTCTGCTACCTCGGCATTAGCATACCGCGTGGCGCGGTCCATCAACTTTGTGTACGTCTTTTGTTCATTCTGGACGAGGTCGCTATGGAAAGGGCCCGACCTGAGATTGTTTGTGAAAAATGGGATGGCGGACCTTTCGTCAAAATTCGTCACCCCCATGGCCTCCTTCTTCCACTTGCTCAGGTACTCCGTCAAGGTCTCCGACTTGTGCTGCTTCAGGTAGCACAAGTTGGCGAATTGCTTCCTCCGCTGTATGCTACCCGCGAAGTGCGACATGAACTTCTTGGTTAGGACAGCGAAAGTGGCGATGGATTCCCCCGGCAAGAACCCGAACCAGTCTTGGGTCTGGCCATCCAAAGTTGTGCAGAAGCCGCGACACATGATGGCGTCGTTGACGCCTGTCATCATCATGACTGCCTTGTACCTGCTAAGGTGATCCCGCGGGTCCGTTGCTCCCATGTAGGGTTTGACAGCCGGGAATCTGAAGTCCCGAGGCAGGGGCTCGGCCATGACGTCTTTCGTGAAAGGTGTGGCCAGGGCGTCCCGAGGCTCCGGTGACTCGTCGCGACTCGCGTGCCTCGATCTTGCGCTGCAACTCGTGCATCTGCCTGCGCAGTTGCTCCATCTCATCGCGCTGGGAGCTTAGAGGTCGGCCTCGTGTCTCTCCCGAGCGCTCCACTGGTGGGATCGGTTCCCGTGGCCCTGGAGCACGAGGTTCATGGCTCCGGGACCTCCGTGAACACGACGACTCCGCCGGCCTGGCATCTGCGGCCGGCCTCGGCCCTAGTCGGTCTTGTGCCGGCACACGCGGGCCCAACCGCCCGAGCGCGGATGCGACCCGGGTAGGTCGAGTCCCTCTCTCTTCCCGCTGCTCGTGCCGGCCTCGGCTGGCCTCCGAAAGGGAATATTGGATTTTCATTCTCACAATACAAAAAGTTAGTTTTATCAATATTACAAGTGCACCAAATAGTTATAAGAAAATTTATAATCATCGTTCGTTGCCCGTCTAGCTCAGTCGGTAGAGCGCAAGGCTCTTAACCTTGTGGTCCTGGGCTGAAGCCCCAGGGTGGGCGTTTAGACTTGATTTCTAATGCGTTAATTCTGATTGTTATATCTTGTAAGAAAAATGAATTTCCATATTATTTTTTATGTAACTACAGCAATGGAATATTGGATGTTAATTGTCACAAAACAAAAAGTTAGTTTTATCAATATTACAAGTCCATCAAATAGTTATAAGAAAATTGACTATTATTGTGTGTTGCCCGTCTATAGGGATGGCAACGGGGCAGGGCGGGGCGGGGGCGGGGAATGGGGTCCCGTCCCCGTCCCTGAAATGTCTCCCCATTCCCCGTCCCCGCCCCGCTCCCCGGCGGGGATGGGGAATTATTCCCCGTCCCCGTCCTCGCGAGGATTTTTCGGGGACGGGGAATCCACGCCCCGTTTTTGGTTTATGTCTATTAAAAAAAAATTAATATATCAAAAATTCATATTGTGCCTTGAATCCCCCTCAAAGAAAGTCCAAATCCAAAATAATATCACACACTCAATATAATATCACACACTCAGTATATTATAAAACACTAGTATGAAACATTTTACACGATTAATGAAGGTTAATAAAAAAAATAGTGCTAATAAAACAGTGTTGCTAACATCAACTTTATCATTTTTTTTCCTGCTGTTTCTCAACTTTATCCTTTTTTTTTTTTTAATAAAACATCTTATCTTTTTTTCGTGCTGTGTTGCTAAAAAAAAATAATGCTAATATCAACTTTTTCCTGCTGTTTCTCAACTTTATCATTTTTTTAATTTAATTACTTTTAGTTTTATATACATATATTATATATTATGATGTTAACGGGGATTCGGGGACGGGGCGGGGATCGGGGGTCGGGTTCGGGGTCGAGGCGGGGAATGCATTCCCCGTCCCCGTGCCCGTCCCCGACAGGGACTGAGAAATTCCCCCATCCCCGCCCCCGTACCCCGAAAAAAAATCCCCGAACCCACCCCCGTAGGGGAGGGGATCGGTTTTCCCCATCGGGGGCGGGTTGAATTGCCATCCCTACACGTTTAGCTCAGTCGATAGAGCGCAAGGCTCTTAACCTTGTGGTCCTGGATTCAAGTCCCAGGGTGGGCATTAAAACATTTGATTGATTGCTATATTTTTTAAGAAAAAATATTTTCAATTTTTTAATGTATCTACAATAAGGGAATATTGGATGTTCATTTTTTAAGAAAAAATATTTTCAATTTTTTAATGTATCTACAATAAGGGAATATTGGATGTTCATTCTCATAATACAAAAAGTTAGTTTTATCAAAATATTACAAGTGCACCAAATAGTTATAAGAAAATTTATAATCATCGTTCGTTGCCCGTCTAGCTCAGTCGGTAGAGTGCAAGGCTCTTAACCTTGTGGTCCTGGACTGAAGCCCCAAGGTGGGCGTTTAGAGTTGATTTCTAATGCGTTAATACTGATTGTTATATCTTGTAAGAAAAATGAATTTCCATATTATTTTTTATGTAACTACAGCAATAGAATATTGGATGTTCATTGTCACAAAACAAAAAGTTAGTTTTATCAATACTACAAGTCTATCAAAAAGTTATAAGAAAATTGACTATTATTATTTGTTGCCCGTCTAGCTTAGTCGGTAGAGCGAAGGCCCTTAATCTTGTGGTCATTGTTATATATTTTAAGAAAAAATATTTCCAATTTTTTTATTTAACTACAATGAGGGAATATTGGATGTTCATTTTCACAACACAATAAGTTAGTTTTGATCAATATTACAAGTCCATCAAATAGTTATAAGAAAATTGACTATTATTGTGTGTTGCCCTTCTAACTCAGTTGGAAGAGCGTAAGTCTCTTAACCTTGTGGTCTTGGGTTCAAGTCCCAGGGTGGGTGTTTAGACTTGACATGCATCTTTAATTATGAACGATTTCCCTAATAAACATTTGATTGATTGCTATATTTTTTAAGAAAAAATATTTTCAATTTTTTAATGTATCTTCAATAAGAGAATATTGGATGTTCATTCTCACAATACAAAAAGTTAGTTTTATCAATATTACAAGGGCACCAAATAGTTATAAGAAAATAAATAATCATCGTTCGTTGCCCATATAGCTTAGTCGGTAAAGCGCAAGTGATATGCATATTTTACACCCATATTTTAGTTACATTTTTATAATATTTTTGCATTAGTTATTTATAATTATTTAATAATTACTTGTTTTTAGAGTTTAATAATTATTTAGTTGAATAAATGTTTTATAATAATATTTAGTTAGTAATTTATTTTGAGCGTAATCCTGTATTTTCATTTTAATCCTAAACAAATAAATCATTAACCACCCAATTGTTTAGAAAAAGACAAAAAAAGAAATATAACATTATATTAAACTTTGATTTTGTTTCTTCAATTCATTTAGTACATGCATGCAGAATGAACGGAGCAGCAACAAATAAGACTTTGTCCATTTCGGCGCTATTCTCGGCAATTGGACGTGAAGCTAAAGAATAGGAAAAGCAGATGGTGGAAATTGATTTGGCCTATTTTTAGAATGCTATAAATAGTAGGAATTTCCTATTGTAAAATCGTTCATCTTTCCCCTCTCGATTATTCTGTAAAGCTGTTATCAATGTCCATTCATTGCTAATTTCTTTAGCTTGGTTTAGTGAATTGAAGCCCCGGAATTGATTATGCTGTAAGATTATTTATTTATTTTTATTATATAATTCTTATGCATTTGGGTATTAAATATTCTTCTAAGTTATTTGAATAGTTGTATCATTTAGTTGCTAGGGAGGCCTACTAGTTATTCACTTGATATAATTATTTGCTATATTAGATAATGTTGTGCTACAAATTATTCTAATATTCAGTAGCAACTGGGTTAATTATTGACGGCTTAGTGATAATTGGACTCGGGTAGAATATTTTCCTAAGTTAAATGCAACCGCTTGTGCTTGTGTTTAGTTTGGCGGTTTTCCTAGTTCCTATTGCTGCTATTAAATTAAATCTATAGCGCTTGTCTTAGGTTATTTAGTAGTTAGGGGTAATTAAACCGCGTGTGCTTTAGTTACCTATAACTAAGGGAAAACGGAAATGAAATAATTTCACGACAAATATTCAATTGCATATTAATTACTTTACTAATAAATGATCAGTGTTAAATTCCGGTGGTGGATCTTTACTAACCAAGGTTTTCTATTATAAGTGCTTTCAATATATTATTTTCATTGCTTTATTCGTTCAATTTATCTTTATTCTCGTTATTTTCCAAACCCCCCATTATTTCCTTGAGCACAAAAGTTAAACTAGTTACTCCTCGTGGGATCGATCCTTACTCCCGCTACTACGTTTGTAAGGTTTTAATTTGGGAGCCTACGACAGCTCACCAAATTTTGGCGCCGTTGCCCGGGATTCTGATTTAGAAGAGAAACCCATGGCTCAAAATCATACCTTAAAAGAGCTTGGAGCTCCAAATTTGGATCAGCAACCTTTATGCATCACCTTTCCCGCTCTGGATGCTAATGTCCAATTTGAATTAAAATCTGGATTAATTCATCTTTTGCCTTCTTTTCATGGACTTGTAGGTGAAGACCCTCACAAGCACTTGAAGGAATTCCATGTGGTGTGTTCAAGTATGAAACCCACAGGGGTTACTGAAGAACAAATCAAGTTGAGAGTCTTCCCATTTTCGTTGAAAGATTCAGCGAAGGATTGGCTATATTATTTACCTTCCGGAAGCATCACCACATGGAATAACTTAAAGACACTATTCCTTGAAAAATATTTCCCAGCTTCAAGGGCGGCAAACATTAGAAAGGAAATATGTGGTATAAGGCAAAACAATGGAGAGTCATTATATGAATATTGGGAGCGTTTCAAAATGCTTTGTGCAAGCTACCCACACTATCAAATTAGTGAGCAATTACTCATTCAGTACTTTTATGAAGGACTTTTTCCAATGGATAGAAGCATGATTGATGCTGCAAGCGGTGGTGCTTTAGTTGACAAGACACCGGACGCTGCAAGAACTCTAATTGCAAACATGGCTGCAAATTCTCAACAGTTTGGCAATAAAATAGTCCAACCGTCTAAGCAAGGGAATGAGGTAAATATTTCTGCCCTTGAACAACAAATTTCTGGTTTAACTACTCTTGTCCGTCAATTAGCAGTAGGAAACATGCAAACTGTTAAAGCATGTGGAATTTGCTCCGTAGTTGGGCATCAAACTGATGCCTGCCCAACTCTTCAAGAAGAACCTATTGAACAAGTCAACATGGCTGGAGGTTTTCCTGGACAACCTCAAGGTAAGTATGATCCATTTTCCAATACATATAATCCTGGATGGAGGGATCACCCAAACTTTAGCTATGGGAACTCACAAGGGAACCAGTTTGTTCAGAATCGTGCCAATTTTCAGCAGTACATACAACCATTTCCTTCAAGACAACAACCAACCCAAAACTCTAGCTCAGGTACGAATCTAGAAGATATTGTTAAATCTCTTGCTACTAACACTTTGCAGTTTCAACAAGAAACACAACTATTCCAACAAGAGACAAGAGCTAGTATTCAAGAAACAAAGGCTAGTATTCAAAACTTGGAA